TAATAAGGACCAGAGAAACGTGCTGAAAATACGCTCCTGGCACAGGCAACAATACAATAACTTGGTCACCTGGTGCAGTGAACGAGAAACAGCCTGTGTGTCATAGTGCAGTTTCATCCGTCTCTGTAAAGGAAGAAGCTTCCTTTGCTAGAGCACAGGCACCATGTAGGCGCTCACAAAAGCGGACTAAGGTAGCCCAACACATTTTCTTTAAACACACAACTCTTGTGATAAAAACGGATCCTTAAGGACTTTCATAGGTCCTCTCAGGTGTGTCCAAACACCAGTTCAGCTGGGCTGAACCCTAAGGATTCCGGGTACTGTCCACGGACAGGAAAACAAAACAGAGGACCCCTCTCCCAATCCTTCCAATTTCCAAGCAATATTTACGGAGCCTAGATTTAGTGTCTGATGCCAACGTTCAAGCGCACCCTGAGACTCTGGGTGATATGCGCTTGACAAACGGTGTAACTCAAGCACTCGCTGTCAATAAATCTCTAACACTGTTTCCCTAACTTCTGCTTTCACTAAAAAACCCTTGATATGGGTACAGAAAAGTGGTCACCCAAAAGCCTGTAGATCCACTCTCGGCAATTCTCAAAAACCTCCCACGTAGGGTTTTCCAAAAATGAAATCCAACTCAAAAGTAGCCACCCCTAAACTAACACGAGCCGACAAATACTGAAAAAAAAAAAACAAGGTAGTTACAGCTGCCAAGCTCAACACTGAACCAGACACTACACTAATTTGCATGAGTAACCGGTATCAATGAGAATGAACCCCCACATTATGTTACGAACCCCTGCTTTAAAAAGTCTAGGGTGGATGGACAAGAGACCCGTAACATAATTCTTTGCAAATTAGAATCGTGACATGAAACAGTGAGAACAAAACTACACGACAAACCATAAACTTACCGTCAAACATAAAAGGTTATTTTTGAACACACGGTTAATGGTTTGGGGAAAAGGGCTGAGCGGGACCCAAGAAATGAAACAAAAGTGTAAAAAAAAATAAATGATCTTGCCTGCCTCAAGAACCGCTAAGCTACTGCTAATCATACAAAAATACAGTGGGTGGTCCGCTCAGGTCTAACTATGTTTTTAGACAGTTTTCTTCCTACGGGTAATGTAGCCCAAGGGAACTTGCTTAAATTCCCCTTTTCCCAGAAACACACAACAAAGTTACCAAACCCGAGTAACCAGCAAATGAGTGAGTACAAAAAACACAGGCACCACAGTATCCATACTCACATAGGAAAATATCTCTAATAAAGTACAACAACTGACCGGCTTTTAACAATGGGATTTCTGGGAAAAAAGAAACAGGGGGTGCAATGCAGAGGAATGTCCACTGATTTGGGCCACCTCAGCAATCAGCAGACACCCCAACGACCACCAATCAGGAACATACAGGACACCTGTGATTAGGGCAAAAAGGGAGGAAAAAAAAACAAAAAGACACAGGATACCTGTATCCGTAACAACTTTGTTGAAGCACCTTTGGTCTCTCCAGAGATGTTCGATCAGGTTCAAGTCCAGGCTCTGGCTGGGCCACTCAAGGACATTCAAAGACTTGTTTTTGAAGCCACCCCTGCGTTTTTTTGGGCTGCGTGCTTAGGTCATTCCCCTGTTGGAAGGTGAATTTTCGCTCCAAATCTGAGGTTCTGAGCGCTCTGGAGCAGGTTTTCAATAAAGGGATCTCTCCCTCGATCCTGACTAGTCTCCCACTCCCTGCCGCTGAATAAAATCCCCGCTGCATGATGCTGCTGCCACCATGTTTCACCGTGGGGAAATTGTGCCAGGTTTCCTCCAGACGTGGCGTTTGGGCATTCAGGCCAAGAGTTCAATCTTGGTATCATCAGACCAGGGATTCTTGTTCTCATGGTCTGAGAGTCCTTTAGTCCCTTTTTTGGCAAACTCCAAGCGGCTTCATGTGCCTTTTACTGAGGAGTGGCTTCCGTCAGGCCACTCTACCATAAAGACCTGATTGGTGGAGTGTGCAGATATGGTTGTCCTTTGGAAGGTTTTCCATGTCCACAGAGGAACTCTGGAGCTCTGTCAGAGGGACCATCAGGTTCTTGGTCAGTCCAAGAGTCTTGGGGGTTCCCAAACTTCTTCCCTTTTAAGAATGATGGAGGCCACTGTGTTCTTAGGGACTTCAA